TGTYTGWYTRWYWATTAATAATATATTAATATATAACAGTGTAACCATTATTTGTCAATTATAAGTTTCCGAAATATCTGAAAAAAAATCTAATCGATGTAGGTAGATCAGACACTATACATTTTCTGCTGAGTGTCACATCGATTTTGACCCTTAAAGGCTTAATAAAATATCCCATCTGACGCTATAGTAATACACTGTTATCAATATGTGTACCTAATTCAATATGCTTATATGACTGTATGTACGTATCCGTTTCTATACGTAATTAATRAAAATTATGATGATTTTAATTTTAAAATATTTACATAAATTATGTATGTGCTATATATACTGTTGACTTATACACGTTGGCCGTAGTATTAGGTTCTTAATAGCGAAATTAAKAGCAAAATAATTTCAATTTTGAACTTGAGTAGAATTAATAAATCTTAAAAATCATATTTGACGGGCCTTATAAGTTTTTATTGTTTTAAAGCATATTAATAATTAGAAATAATTTATCGGCTGGTGACCCACATTGTGAGACTCACTTTAATATACCTAACATTTCATTCCTCTCTACAACGGCACARCCCAATATGACAATATTATTACCATTGCGATTACTTATCATYATTTTAATCATCACTCATTATAGATATCTGTTAGTATTTATGTTATTAAAATAGCTTAGTGCCTTAGTGTACCTACTCACGGATATTTGTCAAGTAACGATGAGAGCATTTCGACTTTGATTCTTAGCTTATGCTAATCTGCGGTAGACGAAGAGCATTTAAATGTTTTGTCTTTGAAATAATTTGCGTGATGATGGTTTGTGTGCACTAATGTCTTCCATAATAATTTGTTGTTTGAGGTGACTTTGCTTCAAAACATTAAACGTCATATATAGTTGATGACTTTAAATTAACGAGGTATTATTAAATGTCATTCACTGAAGTAATCGTAATATCTTGAATCCATCTCTTCGCGTTTCTGTTTGATACAACGTTCGTTCCGAAGGTATTTAAGCATAATATTTCATTATAATGTGTATATTTCGATCGAGTTAATAGTGTATTATGCGCATTATGATAATATATACAATTAGGGTTTAAAATTAAAATTTAGTATAATCAATAWTTACTATTTTGCTTCATAACCAAAATGGTGAAATCTATGTTGTAATATTGCTTCTCGTAATACATTTATTATGCATGTATAACGACACAGTATATTGTGGTGATACACATTGTAAYATATACTTCGTTAATAAATATCCAGATAAACTTAGTATGCAAATAAGAGTATCTACTTTGCATATTGGGTATAAAGGTTACACCTTTTTGGATGTCATACGGTTGGACAATTTATTGAAATCGATCGACGCATTCTAGAAAAAAATTATTTGAACGAAGGAGTTTTGTGTATTATACTCAGTGACTTTTCGTAGAAAAGTTAAGAATTTTATAATTTTTGCAATATCTCTATATATTATGCACGCAAAATTTTAATAAAATACTGCGTGAACATGATGATATACATTTATATTATATACAGGTATCTTTAAGTTTAAAAATAAATAATTTCTTAGAAAATCAATACATTTTCTTATATCTGAGAATATTTCCTATTGCAACATTTAAAGTAGATTAAAAAAAAAAAAAATATTTACAAAGTTTTGATTTGATTTTAAAAGATATTTTATTAGGTTGAACTTATAAATATATAAAATAATATTATAAAACTATTAATTAGATTTAAAAGTGATGCATATGATGGGTTGATAAAATATTTGTAACTTATAATGGAGTCAAACCGTTCACTAAAAATTAATTAAATTACATCTCTCTTATTTAATTTTAATTACTTTACGGACCATGTCGAATAAGTCGTTAAAGGCTCAGGTTGAATATTGTGATATTGGCGTAGGTATAGCTTTCATAATGGTATTTAGGTCATCGTAAATATTACAGCTCGGTAATATTATTCAAAAGCCTAAAATATTCTGAAATACTCAAGTTGTGAACTATTTGTCATCTATAATAACTTAAGTTTGAGTTTCGAATAGTAATTGCCAAATTATTAACGATTACATTTTATTTTATTATTAAGTTTCAAGAGTATAACTCTAGTTCAGACCGATTGTAAAATAAAAATAAAGTTTCCTTATAAAAAATATCATTACTTATATCTATTCTAGTATTCTATGAATTATTGTGAATCAAGTCTAGTAGGTGTTATTAGCCAGAAGTTAAGACTTAAAAAGAAGTAAATTTATAACATAATATTTTTTTTTTAATTTTCAATAATTACTACAAAGAATAGAAAATCTGAAAAAAAAACAATTAATAAATCATATCACATTTTTTACGATACTATACTACTATATTTTTCATTGCTTTCTARTWAAATTTTTTAACGCATCACTATCCTCCACTAATATGTGAGCAAAGCGAGACGAGGATCATAATATAATAAAACAACATCTCTCATAATATATCCAGTCCGTGACGATTATATTTATGATATCTATAAAATATATTATGGATCTTAAAATCACTTTTTTAGTCCTTTTACTATTATAGACATGGTATTAAGTATTAACTATTAATACTATCATAATCTAATTGTCCTTAAAATGATAATAAATATTTAATTATTTAATAATATATTAAAAATGTTCAACTTTTTTTAAATTATCATACTTAAAAAACATATGTTTTCTTMCAATGTTATCTGTTTAGTCATGATCGAATTTGAAAGTTTTAATTAAGTTTATACAACTTACATTTTCCTCAAAGCTTTACCATTAAAACACGAATCCATTGTTTTCCACTTTTTTATTTGTATTTATATATTTTTGACTAAGTTGTTCATGTTATAATATTTTTTTTTAATTTTAAGCAAATAACGTAAAATATATTAAAAAGTATATTTAATTAAAACAAATACATTTTACATTCAAGAACCAGGTRTTTTATTGTTTATAAAATAATTTAGTGTTTAGATACCTAATATATGACTGATGACTCCATAGTATAAATACAGTTATAATAATGAATAGCGATATCACTATACTTCTCTAAACATTTAGTTTTTTGTATGAATTTGGTTTTATTTATTTATTAAATTTTAAAGATTTTTTAAATTAATTTTTAATGTTTATAGACTTTTTTCAAATATGAATTAATTAAAGCACATTAAACTGATTGATTAATAATTATTAGTTTTTTGTATAAATATATTAGCTACCTAGTTAATAATTTTTATATTTGATGAATAAAATAACTTAAATTCAGTATTCAGAGAGTATTCATATTATACAAATTACAATTTTTCTTTTAAAATGTTATTCTCTAATACAAAGTCATAATTTTTCATTCGACTCAGGACATGTTTACCCATAAAAATCTTAAAATATGAGAATATTATATACAGAAAAGAGGATGAAATTTTCATTCTAYTACCAAGTACCAATACTATTATTATATTAATATATTATTTAACTAGAAAAAAATATAAGTATTACTTATCATTGATTGTAATCTCATATCGWTGTTGGAATAAGTACTTAATTATCTACTCAAAAATATGATTTTATATTATGTAAAAAATAAACTTTATTTGCTTTCTTAGTTTTATAATTTTGTATACATTTTTACTTCTTCTAAGCTGCATACAYTCATAAATAAAATATTATAATAGGTGAAACTATCATACAGATCTGGACTCTATTTACGACAAGAAACTATTTTTTTTGTTTTTATGTCCATTGATTTTAATATAATTTATGATATCAATGAGTAATGGCTATGATTGTATATTTAAGGAAGAAAAATTACTTTACTTACAGTGAATACAATTAAAAAGTCTAGATACTTCTGAAGTACGGTATTATCATTACTCCATTACTACCGGGTATAGTAAGTTTGTTATATGGGGAGGAGGGCTTAAGGGCTTACCCCCTCACCCCTAAGTACTACACTGAATATTCGTGTATGATGATAAATGATAATAGTAATAATAAAATAAAATAATAATATTATCAAATTATCAAATCGATCTGTTTTTGATGCATAGCAAGGAAAACGGGAAAGTATTTCTTAATTATTTCACATAAAACAACTGTGTAATGTTTGGTGAACTACGGAGATTATTTTCGTTATGATATTATTATTAATAAACTGCTACTATAATGTACGCGTGATGGTATAATTAGTGCAGGTACCTACGTGAAACGTAATGGTTTTTTCTTTTTTCCTTTCAGTGAACATGAATATTGATGAGAACGTAGATGGCTTTATTAACAGCCCTTTAGTTTTAACTACTGAAGTGTGCAACCCGAGAAAATGTCAAGCCGGTAAAATGGAAGGAGTGTGTATTAGCGCCGAATCGTGTTTCAAACACGGTGGTCAAACCGGAAACCCTTGCAACGGATCGAGTAATCTGATTTGTTGCACATGTCAGTACCCGAACATATAATAGTACACCTATAATACATTTAATACAGATGAATATATTATTACAACACATTAAAATTGCGTCTACAGCACACTGCACGTTTGGSCATTTTATCTCGAAATTCGATACTCGTTTGTGCATTATTTAGTCTATATTTAATTAAAATATATTATTTGTAGGTATGCTATGTAGGTTTTTATGTAAGTTGTATAAATTAAAAATTATATATCATATCYGAATTAAAATTAAATATCAGTAAGCGCATTATGTTGACTTCACATACGAACTTTATCAATGTACAAACATRAGACGGGCTAACGCCGAGTACTAATATGTGCATAATTAGCAACCATACGCGTGGTTGTAAAATCGTACTTGCTAAGATAATCATAGTGGACTATGATAAAGTGTGATGTCATACCTACACAATATCTAATTCGAAATGTCCAAACATTTAATTAATTATTATATAATAATATGTTATGCTACTTTTTCATTGATATTATTTCATAATTATTTGACATAACTCAATTTTCCACGTATCTATTTGAATTATCACAAATGTTATTAATACTTATCTATATATGGAATTATAATATTATATTTATGCAATATGTCCAATGCTCATGTAGGTATGGCTTGTATACTATTCTTAAGCAAGGGTATGTAGATACTTCTTTAATTTAAAAGATGCCCAAACGTGGTATTTTTTTACTTATCGATATTGATGAGTGCCCAAACACGTTGTATGTAATAAGCCAAAAGTACTATGGCACGCTTACAATATTTTTTTTCCGAATACTTGTGTTGATGTGTTTTTAATTGTTTTTTTGACGTCCGTTGGATAATTTGTTGCAGTCATACTTACGTGCGGTGACGTCTCCAGTCAAAAAGTGACGTATCTTCAGTCCCCGGATAATTTAAAAATTGATACGGGCAGTTTGGCATGCGATTACGACGTAATTGTTCAAAAGGATACGTGTGCTGTCCGGTACGTTCATCATTAAACTGTTAAACTGTATATATTATAGGTTGTGGAGKGTATATGCAGTGTATAATGTATATAATATAGGTATATATATAACTATAAAATTACATATTAATATAATATAMAATTTAAAATACAAAAATACAAAAATTTAATATTATTACAAAATGCATTGTTTGAATGTAAATAATTAATTAGCTAGTTGTTGGTACTAACTACTGAAAAATAAATTAGTTTAAATAAATTTATTATATACATAGCTGGAGTTAAAATAAAATTCTTTTGTTCACAAAAAAGAAAAACTAATCGATTTTTCCGAGTAAAATAATAGTTATTTACACTTACATGTAATGGCTGAAAACTATTAAATATACTTATATAAAAATAATCTTTAAATAAACATTGCTTTTAACATGATATTTAATTTTCATATAATATGCAGAGAGCGGATACTGCAGTTGCAGTATAGAGGAAATGTGCAAAAGGCAGACACTTTTATTTAATATTMCATTTCTGAATTAAAAAGTAAAAACATATAGGAAGACTGGCTTTTTATGTTGATTTAAATTCTCTCAGTTACAGTTTTTTTCAACATTTTTTATCGTGTTTAATTTCGAATGCGAACCATTCGGAATCATATCCATGYCAGTATCGGCCCATTACGCAAATTTTATATATTATGTGTCCATTTGATATTTTTTAATGGTTTCAGTATAATTTTTATTACATTTGAATATTTTGGGGTCTAAGAGTATATACATTTTACCTATATCAAAAAAGATCTTTGGGAAATGAGAGACGTTTGTTGCAAATTATTTTAGTGGGCTTATTATAACTTCAAATTGTATATATTTATAATAAGATTGAACTTTCTGTGCTTATAAAGAAAATTGTATTAAATAAGGTAAAATTAGATCCAATTATTTATATATTTTAGGAATGTTATATCTTTTATAGGCTGGTTGACCATAATCCGTAAGAACACATAAAAAATTGGAATATGTAGTAATTATGTTTGGARCCGATTTCGCAAAAAAATATATTTTTGAAAACCCTATATACCTCATTGTATCTATTATCATGAACTATATTACTTCAGAATATTTTTATAAAAAACTGGAAATGTATTTATCTTGACAGTTTTGCTATGCGATTTTTTTGTATAAAGTTTGTTATTTTAGGTAAAAAAAATTTTAACTAACTCAAGTGCAGATAAAGTCTACGTTTCATTTTTAGTGAAATAAAACGTATTTAATCATATAGAATCTAACAAAAAACATATAGTGGTAGAAGAATTATAAAATATAACGTAACTGACTTTTCATCGATAAAGTGATATTGGGAGAACATTTCGCCAATACTTAAGTGTCGCCGAGTGACTGTTGTTGAATATACTTGGATACATTATTTACAGTCACTGCATTATAATAATAACAATGATTGCTAAATCTGAATAACCATTAACAACTAACAACCAAACTACCGAACAACTGTTAATTTATTGTTAACGACTTCCGTTGCATGATAATTTTGTCCATACGTGTATCACGTATGTCTAAAACGTATTACGCGTATTTTATAAAAAAAAAAAACGAGAAATAGAAATATGATTTATACAAATATAAAAGAAAATAACTTCACTATCAAAAAAAAATAATGTTTTCGTCAAATATCATTATATTATCATGATATGAACGAACAGTCGTCACACAAATACTGATAAAAGATAAAACTAAAATAAATATTTGATAGAACGGTAAAAATTATTATTTTTAAAATATTATAATAATTTAAAAATATTCCTAAAATTGCAAGTTATATTTTATTTATTAATATATGTTTAGTAAATATTCAGGTTTATATGCACGAAAATGTTTTCCGTATTATCAATTAATTTTTATAATAATAATTGTCTTGCACTCTTGAAGTGTGGATTATGAAACGGTGAATCTGGCTAGCAAAATAGGAGGAGTATGTGACATCGATCAAGTTTACATTTTGAATTCCAACGACGGGCCAACGACGGGTCAGTGTGGAGCATTGACTGGTTATAGCAGTAAGTCTTGATTTAACATACTGAACGAAGTGAATGTTATTTCATTACAYTTAGTCAGCACTCAGTACCCTAATAATGTAGTGATTTAAATTGATTTTTTCAGCCGTTGTCGCTGTGAAACCGAACCAAGAAAAACCTTTGAAAATAGCAATGGTTGTTCAAAGTGAACCGACCGAATATTGGATAATAAAAATCTCACAAATAGATTGTGGTGAAATAAAACCGCTCAAAGGTAGGAATAACAAGACAATTTATATATAGTTGTATAAGCCATATTTTTGTAGTTATATATTTGTCCCCGGGGATCACTACAATAACCTCGCTGACACGGTTATCCGGTAAKTTTTTTCTCCCTTATAAACAAAACCTAATAAATCAGTAAACCAAAAATATATATGAAAAACGCACARGAAAAAAGTTCGCACAGTCCTATAATATAGAAGGCTGATTAGTTGGGCGACAGTGTCTACACCATAACATCGTAAACACAAGCGAAGAACAATAACTGACTGAAAATAGTTTTTTTTCACGGTTCAAGCTATTTTATATTTTCATTATACATTTATACGTACACAGAACAGTGTAGTATTCACTGTCTCGAAATTCGCCATGTTGTATAATACATATTAAATATTTCAAACTATAAGAACGGCTGAGAAAGTTTCCATTTGAAAAGTCTCAATGTGCTGAAAACAGAACAAAAAACGAAAAACAAAAACAGCCATAAATTATTATTTTTTCATTTAACGATCGTCGAAACGCTACCTATATATACATGCATTCAATCCAATATAATATATAGTGTGAGCATATAATACTATCACAATATTATTAAAGGAGCTTAAATACTGCACCTGTATAATAATATATTAATATGATACCGCACGTACATCTCAAATTTGTGTTTTGACTGTATATATACCTACTTTGAATGAATTCAAATAATTCAATCTCTCGATAGGAAGCCCAAATAACGAATGATGAGAAATTATATTTCATTCTTCGTATAAGGCTTCTTCGTCTGCTGAACATGAATAGCAATCAAACGCAGCATTTTCTAGAAGTAGGTATAATTACTGTAATATTATTGTTCGCTGTTATTATTGTGTTATAGCTTCTTCGATTGGATATAAATACGGTAGGTAACTGAATTATTTCGTTCATACAAATAGAACTTATTTTGTACATCTTAGGTATTTATCCGAAGAGAAGTATCTACCTCCTACGCCTGTATGTATGCATTATGTATAAACAGATGACGTTAAAACTTGAATGTGCGCTCAGATATCTAATCGTTGAGATATTGTTACAATGATTTATGATTTGGAACGGTATTGTTATATTGTTTGTACTATAAATCAAACAGTCCATAAGCACAAAGATTTCGTTCGCGAGGTTGTAAGGGGTGTAATGGTGCAGTACGATATGCACTGAATACTTAATGGTTCGAAGTGATTTCCGTTGGAGGAAAAAAATTTCTTACATAAACATAATTAATTTTGACGTATTTTAATCAGGTGATTAAGAAAAATACATGGGAAAACGTTTTCGTGGTTTACTTAAAACGTTTTATAATAATTTCACATTGCAAAAATTATTATTAATTATTCAAAAAACATTAAGTTTGTAAATCGAAATATATCGTACAAACTTTTGTATAATTTATAAACTGAGGGGAATAACAGCGGCTTGATTTTTTATATAAAATAAAAATAAATACTTAAACGCGCCATTACATTTTGATTTATTTACAAGTTCGAATAAACTTTATTTTT